TCAACAGTTGGCCATACTAAACTAACATATATCAACAGTGGCCATACTAAACTAACATATATCAACAGTGGCCATACTAAACTAACATATATCAACAGTGACCATACTAAACTAACATATATCAACAGTGACCATACTAAACTAACATATATCAACAGTGGCCATACTAAACTAACATATATCAACAGTTCCATACTAAACTAACATATATCAACAGTGACCATACTAAACTAACATATATCAACAGTGGGCCATACTAAACTATATATCAACAGTGACCATACTAAACTAACATATATCAACAGTTGGCCATATTAAACTAACATATATAACATATAGTGGCCATACTAAACTAACATATATCAACCATACTAAACTAACATATATCAACAGGGCCATACTAAACTAACATATATCAACAGTGGCCATACTAAACTAACATATATCAACAGTGACCATACTAAACTAACATATATCAACAGTTGGCCATACTAAACTAACATATATCAACAGTGGCCATACTAAACTAACATATATCAACAGTGACCATACTAAACTAACATATATCAACAGTGACCATACTAAACTAACATATATCAACAGTGGCCATACTAAACTAACATATATCAACAGTGACCATACTAAACTAACATATATCAACAGTGACCATACTAAACTAACATATATCAACAGTTGGCCATACTAAACTAACATATATCAACAGTGACCATACTAAACTAACATATATCAACAGTGACCATACTAAACTAACATATATCAACAGTTGGCCATACTAAACTAACATATATCAACAGTTGGCCATACTAAACTAACATATATCAACAGTGACCATACTAAACTAACATATATCAACAGTGACCATACTAAACTAACATATACCAACAGTGGCCATACTAAACTAACATATATTAACAGTTGGCCATACTAAACTAACATATATCAACAGTGACCATACTAAACTAACATATATCAACAGTTGGCCATACTAAACTAACATATATCAACAGTGACCATACTAAACTAACATATATCAACAGTTGGCCATACTAAACTAACATATATCAACAGTGGCCATACTAAACTAACATATGTCAACAGTGACCATACTAAACTAACATATATCAACAGTGACCATACTAAACTAACATATATCAACAGTGACCATACTAAACTAACATATATCAACAGTTGGCCATACTAAACTAACATATATCAACAGTGACCATACTAAGCTAACATATATTAACAGTGGCCATACCCCTAAACTAACATATATCAACAGTTGGCCATACTAAACTAACATATATCAACAGTTGGCCATACTAGAAACTAACATATATCAACAGTGGCCATACTAAACTAACATATATCAACAGAGACCATACTAAACTAACATATATCAACAGTGGCCATACTAAACTAACATATATCAACAGTTGGCCATAGTAAACTAACATATATCAACAGTGGCCATACTAAACTAACATATATCAACAGTGACCATACTAAACTAACATATATCAACAGTGACCATACGAAACTAACATATATCAACAGAGGCCATACTAAACTAACATATATCAACAGTGACCATACTAAACTAACATGTATCAACAGAGGCCATACTAAAGTAACATATATCAACAGTGACCATACTAAACTAACATGTATCAACAGAGGCCATACTAAACTAACATGTATCAACAGTGACCATACTAAACTAACATGTATCAACAGAGGCCATACTAAACTAACATGTATCAACAGTGACCATACTAAACTAACATGTATCAACAGATGCCATACTAAACTAACATATATCAACAGTGGCCATACTAAACTAACATATATCAACAGTGACCATACTAAACTAACATATATCAACAGTGACCATACTAAACTAACATATATCAACAATGGCCATACTAAACTAACATATATCAACATTGACCATACTAAACTAACATATATCAACAGTGACCATACTAAACTAACATATATCAACAGTGACCATATTAAACTAACATATATCAAAAGTGGCCATACTAAACTAACATATCAACAGTGGCCATACTAAACTAACATATATCAACATTGACCATACTAAACTAACATATATCAACAGTGACCATACTAAAGCCTTTATATATCAACATTGACCATACTAAACTATATATCAACAGTGACCATACTAAACTAACATATATCAACAGTGACCATGCTAAACTAACATATATCAAAGTGGCCATACTAAAATAACATATATATCAGTGGCCATACTAAACTAACTAACACCATATCAACATTGACCATACTAAGCCTTTTATATCAATCAACAGTGACCATAATAAACTAACATATATCAACAGTGACCATACTAAACTAACATATATCAACAGTGGCCATACTAAACTAACATATATCAACAGTGGCCATACTAAACTAACATATATCAACATTGACCATACTAAACTAACATATATCAACAGTGACCATACTAAACTAACATATATCAACAGTGACCATACTAAACTAACATATATCAACAGTGGCCATACTAATCTAACATATATCAACAGTGGCCATACTAAACTAACATATATCAACAGTGACCATACTAAACTAACATATATCAACAGTGACCATACTAAACTAACATATATCAACAGTTGGCCATACTAAACTAACATATATCAACAGTTGGCCATACTAAATAACATATATCAACAGTGGCCATACTAAACTAACATATATCAACAGTGGCCATACTAAACTAACATATATCAACAGTGACCATACTAAACTAACATATATCAACAGTTGGCCATAGTAAACTAACATATATCAACAGTGACCATACTAAACTAACATATATCAACAGTTTGCCATACTAAACTAACATATATCAACAGTGACCATACTAAACTAACATATATCAACAGTGACCATACTAAACTAACATATATCAACAGTGGCCATAGTAAACTAACATATATTAACAGTGACCATACTAAACTAACATATATCAACAGTGGCCATACTAAACTAACATATATCAACAGTGACCATACTAAACTAACATATATCAACAGTGACCATACTAAACTAACATATATCAACAGTAGCCATACTAAACTAATATATCAACAGACCATACTAAATAACATATATCAACAGTGTGCATACTAAACTAACACATATCAACAGTTGGCCATGATAAACTAACATATATCAACAGTGACCATACTAAACGCTAACATATATCAACAGTGACCATGCTAAACTAACATATATCAACGGTAATATACATACTAAACTAACATATATCAACATTGATATACTAAAATAACATATATATCAACGGTAATATAGTAAACTAACATATATCAACAGTGACCATACTAAACTAACATATATCAACAGTGACCATACTAAACTAACATATATCAACAGTGACCATACTAAACTAACATATATCAACAGTGACCATACTAAACTAACATATATCAACAGTGACCATACTAAACTAACATATATCAACAGTGACCATACTAAACTAACATATATCAACAGTGACCATACTAAACTAACATATATCAACAGTGACCATACTAAACTAACATATATCAACAGTGACCATACTAAACTAACATATATCAACAGTGACCATACTAAACTAACATATATCAACAGTGACCATACTAAACTAACATATATCAACAGTGACCATACTAAACTAACATATATCAACAGTGACCATACTAAACTAACATATATCAACAGTGACCATACTAAACTAACATATATCAACAGTGACCATACTAAACTAACATATATCAACAGTGACCATACTAAACTAATATATATCAACAGTGACCATACTAAACTAACATATATCAACAGTGAATATACTAAACTAACATATATCAACAGTTGGCCATACTAAACTAACATATATCAACAGTGACCATACTAAACTAACATATATCAACAGTGGCCATACTAAACTAACATATATCAACAGTGACCATACTAAACTAACATATATCAACAGTGACCATACTAAACTAACATATATCAACAGTGACCATACTAAACTAACATATATCAACAGTGGCCATACTAAACTAACATATATCAACATTGACCATACTAAACTAACATATATCAACAGTGACCATACTAAACTAACATATATCAACAGTGACCATACTAAACTAACATATATCAACAATTGGCCATAGTAAACTAACATATATCAACAGTGGCCATACTAAACTAACATATATCAACAGTGGCCATACTAAACTAACATATATCAACAATTGGCCATAATAAACTAACATATATCAACAGTGGCCATACTAAACTAACATATATCAACAGTGGCCATACTAAACTAACATATATCAACAGTGACCATGCCTAAGCTAGCATATATCAACAATTGGCCATAGTAAACTAACATATATCAACAGTGGCCATACTAAACTAACATATATCAACAGTGGCCATACTAAACTAACATATATCAACAGTGACCATACTAAACTAACATATATCAACAATTGGCCATAGTAAACTAACATATATCAACAGTGGCCATACTAAACTAACATATATCAACAGTGGCCATACTAAACTAACATATATCAACAATTGGCCATAGTAAACTAACATATATCAACAGTGGCCATACTAAACTAACATATATCAACAGTGGCCATACTAAACTAACATATATCAACAGTGACCATACTAAACTAACATATATCAACAATTGGCCATAGTAAACTAACATATATCAACAGTGGCCATACTAAACTAACATATATCAACAGTGACCATACTAAACTAACATATATCAACAGTGACCATACTAAACTAACATATATCAACAGTGACCATACTAAACTAACATATATCAACAGTTGGCCATATATCAACAGTGTACTAAACTAACATTTATCAACAGTGGGACCTGGTGTGTAATCGGCGAGCGCTGTACTCCACCACACAGGCAATGGTATCAGTTGGGAATTTCCTTGGATATCTGTTATTTGGCTGCCTGATCGAAATGTAAGTAACGGTTTAGGGTTTTCATCAAGTTAAACGCTGCTTGTACATTTCTGACAGATATATGAATCGTTATTAATATTTAGGTCGGTTAACACTCAAAAATGTTATTAACAAAATTTTACTTTTCGTATAAAATGACTTACACCTTCTTAGGTTTACAAAAGATGTAGAAATGATTCCCTCCCTGATCCTCCGAGGAACATGATTATTTGTTGTTCCTGTCATATAAACGTTATAAAGGGATGAACAAAGCGATTTACACAGTTGCAGGTTGAAATTAGACACATAGAATGACCGTCACCCCGATGATGAAGATATGCATTTACTGATAAATAAAAAGTGACTGTAAAACCTTGTAGTGATAATCGCCACTTTATCCCATGAAGCGGTGCTCACTTTTGACTAAAGTTTAACTAATTGTTAAAGTGAATTAATGCTCTGATCCCATTGAGTATATTCATTTATAAAGATTTGTCTCAACATTTCCACATTTCTTCTTACTGAGCGGAGTAGGTGTTACCTGTCGAAATAAACGATGACGTCCCCTCAAAAGAAATCATGAAGGCAGTAATCCACTCAACGACTTCACGACCACCTCAACCCATGCCAGAAATGGACCATGACTTCCCTGACTTAGGCCAAAGTCAACATAACCGTAGCCCCGAAATGGCCAGTCAGTCCTCTTGAGATCACAGGTCCTCCAGCGACACCGTAAATCTCCATGACACAAAGACATATACTCCCAGCGACGACAGAAACCATTGGACTGCAACTACAGTCAATGATCGAGACTAGGTGATGGCCACTTACTCCACACGGGAACAAGACCCTCGAGCTGCAGCGTCAGTAGATGACTTCGACACGCAGGCCCAGGACCTGAACATCTCCCTGTACACGGGTGACGGGAAGTTCGAGGATCCGTCATTCGCTGACAAGTAGATGTTCGAAGGTTCTGGTAAGAAGTTCCAGCCTCCTAAAAATGGCAGAAGCCAAGCAAACACTCCAAGCGACGCCCCAAGCTACAGTCTCCGAAATGGCAGTCCTTCTCAGGATGAAAATTGTCCAACATAATGTCCTACACTGGTCCCCTAATAGACGTAACAAACTGTCTAATCCACTATCAATTAGACCCAGACGTTATTCTGTTAAACAGTACTGGCATAAAGGACGAAAATAAGCTGAAGATTTTTGGCTACACTGTATACCAGAGGAATATGGCGGGTGAGCTGAACGATGGTGTCGCTGTGGCTATCAGGTCACGGCTGGTTTAAAAATAAAGCATGTGAAATGCAAAGATTTGTGGATCAACACAATATATTGCCCAAATACTCATGGCGCGACCCCACCTCTACTCATCCAATGGTAACTCCCTCATTAAAGACAATGAAGGCCTCCTTCAGCACTGGAAGGAGCACTACCATTCACTGCTCAACCGAAACACTGATGTGGATGTTCTGACTACCCAGCAGGTCCCTCAGCATCCAGAGCTGACCCACCTCAGCTATCCTCCATCCCTAGATAAGATAGCTACTGCCATCAAACGGATGAAAATTAACAAAGCCTCTGGGCCTGATGGAATCTCAGCCGAGATGTATAAAGCAGGAGGACCTCTGCTTACAAGGCGTCTCCACTCTCTCCTGGAGAATATATGGGAAAAGGAGGAAATCCCCCAAGCTCTTAAAAGACGCCTCCATCGTCAATATTTATAAGAACAAGGGAAACCAGTCAGACTGTGGCAACTACCGTGGGATCTCGCTGTCCTCTAAAACAGACTTCTTCCTGAGGCGGAAAACTTCCTCCCAGAATCTCAATGTGGCTTTAGACCAGTGGTTCTTAACCTTTTTAGGGTCGCGCCCCCTATAGCAGTTGGTCCTCATCTCCACGCCCCCCTCCTTCCTTCATATAAAATTTTAAAACCATGATAATAAACACCACCACCACCACCACCACCACATGGCCATAAACATCACTCAAAGTAGACAACGCTTGATTTTGAGTTGGCAAATTTCATTCTCGTTATTAAAACGAAACAATTAGCATTCTTTTCAATTGTTATAAGTAATTATCATTATTGTTTCGTTCATAAAAAGTCTACCCTACATCATAGCTCAATTGAAGAAAGAATTGCATGAGTGTGAGAGGTAGAAAGTTGTCACGGACGGACGTCGCGGGCGACTGGCACTGGAAATCGTCTCAGTCAGTGTTGACAATTTTTCAAATGTGAATTATCGTACTAGAGCCTCAAAATTATCGTTTCTTCATCAAATTATCGTACACTTACCGACATTATTACTACCTTAATTCAGTCACTTTTAGTGGAATTTTACATTTTGATTAACGTAGTTATCATTTACGACATTTTGAAGTATCTGTGGGGAACGAGAACCCCTCCACCCCCCT